GGCCCCATGTTGCATGGATCTGTACACAATTCCTGGAAGCTGAAAACATCCAAGTTCTAGCATGGCCAGCATACTCACCGGACATGTCACCCATTGAGCATGTTTGGGATGCTCAATGGGTGACACATCTGGTGAGTTTGCTGGCCATGTCACCCATTGAGCATGTTTGGGATGCTCTGGATCGGCGTATACGACAGCGTGTTCCAGTTCCTGCCAATATCCAGCAACTTAGCACAGTCATTGAAGAGGAGTGGACCAACATTCCACAGGCCACAATCAACAACCTGATCAACTCTATGCGAAGGAGATGTGTTGCACTGCGTGAGGCAAATGGTAGTCACACCAGCTACTGACTGGTTTTCAATAATCATGCTGTCTAATCAGCATCTTGATATGCCACACCTGTGAGGTGGATGGGTTATTTCGGCAAATGAGAAGTGCTCACTAACACAGATTTAGACAGATTTGTGAACAATATTTGAGAGAAATAGGCCTTTTGTGTACATAGAAAAAGTCTTAGATCTTTGAGTTCAGCTCATGAAAAATGGGGGCAAAAACAAAAGTGTTGCGTTTATAATTTTGTTCAGTATAGTCTGGTTAAAATTTCTCAATGGTAGTGTAAAACAACATCATTTTTACCCTGTCAAAAACAGCTCTTTTCAGAGCAAGCTGTTTTCTTGCATGCTGCTTTAAATGCAAATGAGCTCTGCTTACCCCGCCCCTCTCTTCCGAGCCGGTAAACTTTAGCCGCATTCATCGTGAAACTTGCTAACTAGCACATTATTAGGAAAGGTGATTTGTCGCGTCCAGTGTACTAGACAGACTTTAGCTTTTGCGGTGCAGACACGGTGCTACTCACCTATCGAGAAGAAACAAAGCAACCTCCAATCCAATCCAATCCAGTCCAATCGCAGGCCTTCCGCTCCTTGAGTTCTCTCCAGCACTGGAAAGCTGATCCAATATTTACACGGGTCCTACTTATTGCCTTAAGCCTTCTTTTGTTCCGCAGACATTTTCCTCTTTTGTTTTTTATCCGCCATCTCTATCTTTCTGTCGCTCGGCTCGGCTAATGTCCGTCCTGTACACTGAACGCACTCTCCTCCACATCATGAGTAGATACGCCCCTTACTGCTGATTGGCTACAAATTTGTTTTGCTATTCGGCCCAAATCAGTTTTCTAAAGCGTTTTTGAAAAATCGCTTACCCCATCGTTAAGCGGCTCAGATGTCGGGAGTAAATGACGATTGCTATGTTCATTATTTCATCCAATAACAGAACACCTCAATCGCTTAGGAGTCATTCTTGTCTACATCTGCTCCGGCGGTGAAACAATGGTGGACTGATGACAGTTCACTCAGGGCAGGTCTGAGGTAAGACACCAGTCCAGTCTGTGCTGAAACACTACTGTCAATCAAACAATCGTGGGAGGGGCCTGTCTGTGTGATGTCACACAGACAGGCATCTGAGATCGGCTCGATTTGAGAAAGGGGAATGATTTAACGAGATTTTTAAAAAAACACTGGGTGGATCTTTATCATTACAGGGTGGTTGTGTACACACACTGCCAACACACATTTCTGTTCAAACAGCTTGTAAAAGTGCATGTGGCATCCGATGACCCCTTTTTTAAAATTTTTTTATTTATACATCATCTGAAAGCTGAATAAATAAGCTTTCCATCGATGTATGGTTTGTTAGGATAATATTTGGACAAGATACAACTGGAATCCGAGGGTGCAAAAAAAAAAATCTAAATATTGACAATCGCCTTTAAAGTTTTCCAAATTAAGTCCTTAGCAATGCATATTAATCAAAAATTATGTTTTGATATATTTTCGGAAGGAAATTTACAAAATATCTTCATGGAACTTGATCTTTACTTAATATCCTAATGATTTTTTACATAAAAGAAAAATCAATAATTTTGAGCCATACAATGTATTGTTGACTATTATTGTTACAAATATACCCATGCTACTTATGACTGGTTTTTTGGTCCAGGGTCACATATATCAAAATAGAAAAGTTATTTTAAATGTAATAAATTGTGTTAATATTTCACAAATGATGAAATATGAATGAAAAATATGTAGGAGTTTAAGTGGCAACTGTGGTCACATTATGGTTTTATAGTCGTTACCTCAGCAGTTTCCTCAGATGTCCTGTAAGTGTGGAGAAACCCAGATAGAGCTCTCTCAGTTCAGTCAGTTTGCTCATCAGCTCACCCAGAACTCCCATGAGGCCCTCATCCTCCAGACCCAACCTGTGAACATTAAAAGCCTGTGCAGGAAACGTGAGCGAGCGCAGCTGTGGGAACTTCAGCTGGGAGAGCAGTACCTCAATATGTGGAGCCTCCAGATGTACATTGTGCACCACTTCCAGCTTCTGCAGGCCATGTGATTCCACCAGCTTCAGAAGGTAAAAGAGGTTCCTGAGGCTCAGCGAGTCCACACGCAGACCTACAAAGTTCAGTTTTAATGGGCAGTGTCTGCGCAGCAACAGAGCCTGAGCCACCACCTCATAGTTCCGTCCAGTAACAAATGCATCCAAGCGCACATCTACCTCCACATCAAACGCTGATGGTGCTGCTTGGTCGGCCTGCATGGCCACCATAGTCTCGTAGCACATGCGGGTAAGCAGCTCGGTTCTTGCCCAACGGCCAAGAGTCCGTCTGCAGGGACAGACCTGGTGTTCTATGTCTTGCAGACCGATTAGATCCACCACACGTAACATTTTTGCATACGTGCTTGGAGCTTGAAGCACATAGTCCCTCAGACCTGTGAGAATGGCCTCCAGACAGAGCCTGCAGGTGCGGGATGTGAGATCATCTGGACAGTCCACGGTCCTGCCCAATAGTTTGCGCAAGTTGATCTCTGTCAGAGGCCACGTCTGGACCAAGTCGTGGAGCATTGTGGCCTCCTCATGCAGATAACTGGCTTTGAAGAGGATTGGGTAGAGATCGTAAGACAAGCAATGGAGGTTCTTACACGCATTTGGGCCGGTTTGAACAAAGCCCTCGGCTGCTAGGAACTTCAAGCTCTTCATGGCTGTGTTTGTCAGCTCCCAAGATCAAGGAATCTTCTTAGAGCTGTCAGCCTTTAGGAGATATGGAGTGTTTCTTCTGCTCTCTTTCAACCAACATATACATGTGCGTCAACCCAAGAACAGAAGAGTGCTGAGCGAGAGCATGAGGAGGGAGATAGTTGAGAGGGGGTTAGTTTATTTATAGAAGCAGCTGTCTCATATACTCTCATAACTAACAGGCAGAGGTTAAAAAGCATTTAGATTTTGGACGGCTGGAAAGAAAAAAAGAGCACTCTTACCTAGTTTACCTTACCTTAGTTTGATTGCAGCATATAATCATTGCAACGATTTGTATCGTGAAAAGCGCTATACAAATCAACTTGAATTTAATTGAATTACCTGTGACCATCAATGGTTACATTCTGTGGCTGTAGAAAAAATCTGGCATTTTCTGGGTCAACCATTGAGAATTGTGTTAAATTAAGTCATCTGACTAATTGTGCTGTAAATAGGATATATTTTCAAAAAATTAAAGAAACTTGTATTTTCAGTAGGCTACGCTTGCATTCAAAAGTGTTGCGTTCATCCAAGAAACATTTTTGCGGTCAGAACTTTCGTGATGGAAACATGGAAATAATGAAAGAATTAAATTTTTTGCATGTAAACCTTAAATCAAAAGGTTTGCTTTTTATCTTTTTATCATTATATAATTTTATCTTAATTTCTCGAGGGAAATTAGTTATTTTCAGGGGAACAATTTTTTACAACTTTTTTTTCTTGAGAGAGAGACACAGAAGTTTTCCAAGTGAATGCAAATGCATTGAAATATTGAAATATATATAAAATAATATATATATAAAAAAAAAATTTGCATCACCATGGCCCTTAGGGTTCCCGAATGTTTCCCCTTTAAGGTGCCATAACTTTACTGTTGCTTTGCGACATTTGGTGTGAGGAAGGAACATTTAAACTTTAAAAAAAAAAAAAGGTTTAATTGATTGTCTCACCATACAGCTCCATAAAAGTGCATTTTATCTTAATTTAATATTTTATTTAGCTTGGTACATTATGCGTTTCGTTGCATGGCATTTTCTAATATAATTAATATAATATTAGCAGCCCTACTCAGAACATAAACATGCAATATGATTATAAAGATTACCTTTGGTTTAAAAAAAACACTGATTGCATCCTATGAATATAAGCAAGCTGACTTAAAACTACATTAATGGTAATATTGATATACATAATAACATACAATAGGACTGGTCATGTGTCTACAGTCTAGCAAGCACATTCCTGAGCAAAAAAAGTTTGTTGCAGCTCACAAACGCAAATATTACAATCAATATTTTTTAGAATTAAGCATATACTAACATGATACATTTTCCAAACCAAAAAGAAAAGTCCGCCAAATGCACTATAATCTAGGGATGAAACCAGTTTGAACTATTCTGTTTATAACCACATGGAGGAGCTGCACACCAACATAATGAATGCAGGCTCATTCTACTGACTGAGATTATATTTTTGTGCAGGTACAGTTCTCATATCATCGAAAAGAGTGGTTCGGCCCCTTTTATTGCAGAAATGATCAAGCTGTGTGTGTTTGGCAGATGAACCACCTGCATGTTAGTTTTTACAGAGAAAATAACACTGCTTATGAGAGTTTTCTACTCGATCAGTCATTCAGGAGTTTTTCAGAACTCTTACGCAGAGTGGTAATGGTGATGATGGTGGTGATGGTGGTGCTCATGGTGATGATGGTGTTCGTGTCTTTGAGGAAGGGGCATAAAACCCCCAGGAGGAACAGCTGGCCCCGGCTGTAATTCTCTGTCATGATTGCTTCTGGAAGGTGATGCAGTCTCACGGGCTCGGGCACGCATGCGTTTGCTGGAGCTGTGCAGCAGAGGTTGCTGTTGCTGCTGTTGGGATGGATGGCACCAGGTCATAGGGTGATGCCCATGGAGCTTGCTGGGTTTGGTTGTGGCTCCGCTATAACCGACAGACTTGCTGCGGTTGCGGAGTGACCTGAGGAAAGGAATGGATTTTCCAGATGACTCCACTGGGTTGCAGGTTTCGGGTTGAGAGCGATGATGATGGTTACGGGAAGAGCTCTCCTGAGGCTGCTCCTCAGCACAGGTTTCTGGAGCTTTGATAGTAGAATAAATCATTTTTAAGAAAGCTTTAAACATCTAGAATCTTCTAGAATTAGAACAGAATAAACTGAATTAAACTGGCTTTCATAAAACTGAGCTCAGCAATTTTCACTGGCCTTGCTGAAGTTCAGAGAATAAATATTAAGCTATCACCTTCAAATCGAGAAGTGTAGTTTTCAATTCCAGCCAGATCTAGATAGTGGTTCCTACGTTCTGTGTTTTCATCTACGGAGTACTGCTTCCTCTCCGAAACACCCAACTGATCCGAGTTCAGTTGTCTGACAGACAAAATAATACAGTATTATTAAATATTGTGTTGGTAATAGTGTTGTTATTGTTAACTAAAATGATCAAAAATTGTTTCATTAATTTAAATTAAGCTTAAAATAAGAAAACTCCGAAAATTATAAATGTTGCCATGGCAAATATCTAAATAAAACAAGTTACATTTACATTTAGTCATTTAGCACAGTGGTTCCCAACCCTGGTCCTGGAGGCACCCCAACACTGCACATTTTGCATGTCTCCTTTCTCTGACACACCAGTTTCAGGTCTTGGAGTCTCTACTAATGAGCTGATGACCTGAATCAGGTGTGTTTGATTAAGGAGACATGCAAAACATGCAGTGTTGGGGTGCCTCCAGGACCAGGGTTGGGAACCACTGATTTAGCAGATGCTTTTATCCAAAGCGACTTCTAAATGAGAAAAGAAAGAGCAATAATATGCAAGTGTATATATAAATAATGTATATATAAATATGTATGTGACAAGTCTTGGATAGTTTAACGCAGTACACGTAGCAAGGCTTTTTTAAGTAGATGGAATAGAAAAAAAGAAAACAGAACATTAGCGTTAGATCACTCTTAAAAATACAGGTGTTTAAAAGGTTCTTAACAGCAAAGAACCATTTTTGGTTCCACAAAGAGCAATTCAGTCAAAGGTTCTTTAAAGAACCATCTCTGTCTTACCTTTTTATAATCTGAAGAACCTTCTTTCGCCACAAAGAACCTTTTGTGAAACAGAAAGGTTTTTCAGATTAAGGGTTAGTTCACCCAAAAATTTAAATTAGACTGCGTTTTACTTACCCTCGAAGCATCCTAGGTGTATATGACTTTCTTCTTTCAGACGAATCCAGTCGGAGTTATATTAAAAATAGTCCTGGCTATTCCAAGCTCTATCATTGCAGTTGAACAGTCCACAAGTCATAATAAAACGTGCCGCAGACGGCTCCGGGGGATGAATAAAGGCCCCCTCTAGCGAATCCATGAATTTTTGTAAGAAAAATATCCATATTTCAAATGTAATAAACACTTCTCTCTCACTTCCGCTGACTGTCATACGTAAGACACGCGGCGTTGTGTAATTAGTGACGAATTCGGAGAGAGAGAGAACAAAACAAAACGCCGGTCACGAATTAGAAGAACAAACCGAGGATTTGCAAAGAAAAATGTCGGAGGATTTCGATATAAAGCAAGAAGAGACTGGTTTTCCTTTGCTAAAGTAAGGAAACTTTGCTTCCTTTGCTCCTATTAAACAAACTCGCGAGACTAGCAATAGCATATCTCAGAGGTGCGCTCTACGCACACGTGCTGCGTCATCCGACGGAACTGCTTCGGTGTATGACAGTCAGCGGAAGTGAGAGAAAAGTGTTTATTACGTTTGAAATATGGATATTTTTCTTTAAAAAACACATGGATTCGCTACAGGGGGCCTTTACTCATCCCCCGGAGCCGTCTGTGGCATGTTTTATTATGAATGCGCATGCTATATTTGACGACTTGTGGACTGTTCAACTGCAACACCCGCTGACTGCAATGATAACGCTTGGAATAGCCAGGACTATTTTTAATATAACTCCAACTGGATTCGTCTGAAAGAAGAAAGTCATATACACCTAGGATGCTTTGAGGGTGAGTAAAACACAAGCTAATTTTCATTTTTGGGTGAACTAACCCTTTAAATGTTCTTTATGGAACCATTTAGACAAAAAGGTTCTTCTATGGCATCGTGAAGCACCTTTAATTTTAAGAGTGAGGGTCATTTTTTTATTGAAATAAATAAAAAGAAAAGTCGAAAGAATAGAAAAAGAATAGAGAATGCTAGTGTTAGAAGGTCAATTTTTTTTATAAAAAAGAAAACAAGTAGTTAGAATAGTAATAGAATTGAGAGTGCAAGTGTTAGAGGGTCGTTTTTTAATGAATAAAAAGTAGATAAAATAAAAATAGAATAGAGAGTACTAATGTTAAAAGTTAAAGTACAAAAATTACTAAAACTGAAAACAAAAATAGAAGCTAATTAGAAATAAAAATTACGAAAGCACATTAGAAAATTATAAAAACTTGATTTTAATTAAAACTGAAAATATAAAAGTAAAAGCTACAAATATTCATAAATACTATAGTAGTATATAAATAATACTAAAATAACACTGGTATAATTACTGGTTACTGTTACTATAATTTTATTCCATTTTGTTATCATTTTGTTCCACTAGGTAAATAATTCTAATTTTGTTGGCATTCATTTCCTGTATAAATATTTCTCAAGAATAACTTCTGATTCATTCATATATGCAATACTAAAAATCACCTGATTTGAGAATGAGCGCTCTCCGCACACCGTACTGAGTCCTCCCGCTCATTTAGAGACATCCCAGCATCCCGTTCTCAAGAAGGACAAAAGTAAAATGTGAGTAACACTACATTATATCCTGATTATTTCAGGAGATTGATCAAATAGGATATGAGACCATTTGTTTGTTTTTTTTATGATAGGTTTGTTCTTCACCTTTTCTGTTGCCTTTTCTGCTGGTTAATGGAGTGACACTCAGCTTCACACGCAGGGTTGTGCCATTGCTAAGCACCAGCTGTTTGACTGATGCCTCGACCACCTCACAGATCGTCTGCATCAGGCTCAACATATTCTGCAACAAACACAATGAGAGAAACTCAGCAATGGCTAAATGATCACTTTAATGAGATGGTAGATCCTATGTCGATACTGAACTTTACCTCTCTGGTTATTTTCCCATTGCTGTCCAAATCATACAATGTGATCATACACCCTTGATGATTTTCATCCACATTACACTCCTTGTCCTAATATCAACATCACAATGGAAGGATTTGCAATCATTTTTGTATTAGCATGACAACATGTTTATTAATATAAGATATCCTACACCTCAGAAAACAAATATTAAAAGTTCACAAATTAACTTTTTTTCAGCAATAATGCAATCTAAGTGAATGCTAATTGAAAGTGACATTAAAGATATTTATCATGTTTTTAAAAAACTATTTAAAATAAATTCTGTTTCATCAAAATATCCTGAAAAAGTATCACCGTTTCCACAAAAATATTAAGCAGCACAATCAATTTCAACATTGATATTAAAAATAAATTCTTGACAGCATTCTTGTCACTGAAGACTAAAGTAATTTGCCATCACATGAATAAATTATATTTAAAATATAGCAAAATAGAAAAATATTTTAAATTGTAATAACATTTCACAATATTACTATGAAAATTAGTCATAGTCGAATAACAGTAAATGCAGCTTCACTACGAGACTTCTTTCAAAAACATTTAAAAATCTTACCGACCCTAAACTTTTGAACAGTATGTCAGGTTGGTCGTCTTTGGAGTTTCACAACAGGTACAATGTTCAGTGTTTCATGTGCAGTTATCTATGACAAAAACTTACATCATCCTTCCCATTTCTTCTAAATGAATCTTTGAGTGGATGCTGTCTTTCATTTTCAGGAGAAGAAAGCGAAGAATTAGGAGTCTCCATTACTCTCTCTGGTGGTAGTGTTACTACAAATAACAGATAATGTTAAAGGGTTAGTTCACCCAAAAATGAAAATTCTGTCATTAATTACGCACCCTCATGTCGTTTCAAACCCGTAAGACCTTCGCTGATCTTCAGAACACAGATTAAGATATTTTTGATGGAATCTGAGAGCTGTCTGACCCGGCATAGACAGCAATACAACTGAAATGTTCCCAAGTCCAGAAACGTAGCAAGGAGATCTGTAAAATAATCCGTGTGACATCAGGGGTTCAACCATAAGTTTACGAAGTTACGAGAATACTTTTTGTGCGCAAAACCGATCCGGCATGACGCAGCTGACACAGAACAGCATACACTGTTTACGTCCAGCTGATACTCTCCAAAATGGCGCTACAGGGTGATGCGGAGGAGACGAATTGTTGAATAAAGTCTTTTTTTTTTCTTTTGCGCACAAAAAGTATTCTTGTAGCGTCGTAAAATTACGGTTGAACCCCTGATGTCACATGGATTATTTTACAGATCTTCTTGCTACGTCTCTGGACTTGGGAACATTTCAGTTGCGTTGCTGTCTGTGCAGGGTCAGACAGCTCTCAGATTCCATCAAAAATATCTTAATTTGTGTTCCGAAGATGAACGAAGGTCTAACGGGATTGAAACAACATGAGGGTGAGTAATTAATGACAGAATTTTCATTTTTGGGTGAACTATCCCTTTAACAGATCATACAAAGACCTCGACTGAGAAAACAAACATCTGTCCAAAACATTAAAATCCAACATTACAGAATATTTAAAATGACAGATTAGTCTGTATTATGTTGCTTTAAACAATGGCACTATTTGTAAATGAGTTTCCTTTCACAGTTCAACTTACCCTGTAGTGAACAGTATTGATCAGACATCTGATCTTCTTTTGGATCTCTACCACTCAGATCCTAGAGTTAAATAGGAAAAACAAATCATTAAAGCTATGGACATCCAAAGAAAACAATGGATTGGAGTGCAGCTAGTGTATGTGTGTGTGTGTGTGTGTGTGTCATTTAAAGTCAAAGACTGATTTAGTTCGAATACATTGTGTAAAACTGAAATGAATGCGATTTGGCCAATATATTCTTATAATCTCATGTTTTGGAGATTAATTTGTATGTGATGTACACTCTCAGGGGCGGTACCCTTTTAAAATGTATTCATGTTTACACTTTAGGTACTAACATGTATTTTTAAAGTACTAAAATACACCTTTAAGATACTAATATGTATCATTTAGTGGTAAATAAGGTACAAAGATGTACCTTTTAGCTTTTTTACCTTAGGGTACCGCTCCAGTGACAGCTTTGTAACTTTTTTCTAAGAGTGTACAGCAGATATGAACATTTTTGTCAACTAATGGTGACATGTATTCACCCGGAATCTAAATTGTTGCTTAAAATTACTTACAATATTTCACTTAGCAACAGTAAGCAAAACCACATGTAATTCAAAGCATGCAAGTACTATTTCTTCATTTTTGCATACATTTTCAGCTTGCACAATAGACATTAGTAAGGTTATTTGCCATATTGACTTTTATGTGAGACTTACAGTCTTTACAGTGGCATGCACTGCATAAATGTCCTAAATCGCATGTAACTTTTAAAACTTTTATTGTACACAGTACTTCGCACAGTTTTGTTTTCATTTCTGTCAAAAATTAAATATCACACTATCTGACTAAGGTCTATAGATTCATCATCTGTGATTGAACAAGTTGAACATGAACAGGTTGCCATTATGCTTGTTCCCTGGAATTGTACCCATGGTACTAGCAAATAATGTTACATACTTTGCAATATCACAACTTGCTTTTCACCTTAATAACCTTACTGTACCATTCCCGGTGACTATTTATATGTCTTCAGCTACTACAGTTACCCTTGAAAATTGATTTATCAGACCATTTATAGCAATTTAAACCCTGCTCTTTTCTTATACACATCTTTAGCAAGGTATGGTCATCATCAAGCATCTCCAAGTAGGTAGGACTGTACATCTTTAAAATGTAAAAAAAAAAAAAACATTGTTTCAATGTTACAAAAATCCAGGAAACTGTTCAACTTCCTGCACGTCTGAATTCGCCTGAAAACAGCAACATAACTGCACTGTGTTGTACGTTTCCTTGGTCCTAACCACCAACCCTGATCTCTGAATTAGACGTTTGATGCACACAGCATCACCACAACAATCCAAGGCCTTTAGCAGAACCACTCGTCTACATTTTGTAAACTCATCTGCAGCAGCCTTCATCATAGCACTCCTCCCACCAACTACACCTCCTTTCCCTCCTCCAACCACTTTCCCCCAGGTTCCCCATCACAGCCTCCCTCTGTTTTCAAAACCAGTAACAGATGTGTGGTGGGGCTGTGCTCTAAGACCCTGCTGTTCTGGCTGCCGGCCATATGCATTTCAGACAGTGATGAAGGCTCCAGGCTCCGCTGAGAGAATGAGAGCAAAGGAAAAAGAGGGAAGAGACCCACCACCATTTAAATACAATGCTGAGAGTACAGTGTAATACGGAGAAAAGCGTTCAGTGCCTAATTGTTCTCAAAATCTGAGTAGTCTAAAGTGTGGAAATGCTGATGACAATTTATGTTGATTTGTGTTGACTCACATTTTAATTTCTTCACTTCACCTCTAACAGTGCAAGCTAGGTATACAATTTTTTTTAGATCCCAGGGAATCAAACCCATGACTATACGTATGCTCTACTCAAACTACAGGAATACTCGCAGCTTGTCTATTATCTCATATAACCACACATTTTAAAAACTACTGGTATTTTAGAGCTTGGCACCAGACGTTAGGTCATAACAATAAAGATAAATCGAATGTACTGGTTACATAATGTACAAATGAAAGGGTTTTATAGCAACATCGTTTCTTTTAATAAGCAAAACTCACATTGCATAATATTAAACAGATCAGTAGTAGTCTATTTCGTGTCAGTAGTACAGTATGCAATGACTATAAATGTAGCCTATTTACTTTACGTTGTTAAGAATTAATCTATATAATCTAGCAATGTTGCATAATGGTTTAGTAAAAGTTAGGATGAAGTGTTATCAGTAAAAGTTGTACTCATCAACCAATTAACACTTTACAGGTTTAACCCTTAAACATGCACTTATAGTAGGCGAGCTATACATAGTTATGTAGATGTAGAGTGACAGTTAACTTAAATCTGTCTAGAACATTAAAAATGGTCACCTTACCTGTTTGTTTCTGTTCACTTCACCAACACACTCAGCCTCCTTGAAAACATCTCCTAATACAACACAAATGTCCATTTAATAACCTTTTCTTATATGTAATAGCCATATGGATAATTAAGTTATCACCTTACCCTCTGGATTTTCTCTCCGTTTACACGCTAGGGAAAAAAAATAAACAAGAATGAGAATAAAGTGACTTGCTATGTTTTAGCGTCTGGCACGTTATTTGCACACTGTCTTACCAGGTTTCGATTGTAGTTTTCCCATGTTGATTTCATTTACGGAAAGAACTAACGAGCTGTCATTTCAGGAACAACTGTGACATCTTCTGTGCCATAAATGAAGTGGGGCTGGATATGCATGTTTCCACTGAAGCCTGTCCATATTATAGTCTGAGACTGAAATGAAGTTTGGGAAAGTCTAGTCTACCGTATGGATTTGATACACGCTCGCTCGCTGCGCGGTGGAAGCGCAACTCGTAGGACTCACCCTCCCTTTGATGATGTGCACCTCCTTCAGTTTTAGCGCACTTTATTCGTTGGACAGCCTGGTAAAAATTTGCATGAGAATTCTTATCCAAGCCTTCGACCATATTCCTAAACCACATGTTCAGTTTTAATTTCTCCTCTTAAGAGAGATTCACTTCAAAGCTCTTTAAAATGACCGATTATGTTTCAAATTGAACACAACATAGGCCTAAACATTTCAAACCAAATATATATTCTAGTTTTGTGACACCTAAATGCAATATTATGTTTAAAAAATGTTAATGCATTTCATTATACAAAATAAAAGTTGCAATGCATTTCATCAATTTAAAAAAAACATTAGATTACAGCGCCCTCTGGTGATGGAACGAAATAAGAAGGTGATCCGTTTTATTCCTCTCTTTCTCTCGCGCCAGTATGGGCCATTCAAGAAGACTGTTCATTCAAATGAAATTGAGAATGAGAAATGGATGTGTAGGATTTGTAGATCTGAAAAACAATGTGCAAACAGCAATCAACAGCAGCATAAATATTCCAATTAGATAAAATGCATCTGCTATTTTTTACTCTGTACCTGTTAATCTGAGGGGGGAAACTGCTCTGAAAAATCAACAAAGAGCACCTAGGGGAATAAGGGTGCAGGTGATGTACTGGATATATTGGAAGAATCAAACATCTCACATGCAAAAGCCTCCTGTAAAATTTGCTTGACCTAGTACAGACCAAGACAAAAATTTGAGCCACTAATTCCATACAAGTGACAGTATAATGAACTTACCTCTCACTCAAATCAAATGAAAATTTTTAACAAGAAACACATGTCTGTCTATTGTGAAATCAGGAAAATCTGTTAGAAAAAGGGACGACAACACTGGTACCTGGACTCAGTGGAGCCCCTTTATGTTTTATGAACTTATCTTATCTTACGAACAGTAAACCACTGAAAGGCTAAATGAAACTGATGTAAACTGTAATGACTCATTCACTTTGCTGTAGCAGTTAAAAATTAGGTTATTAAAAAAGTTAAAAAATTAATTCATCTAATAATAAACAGGTTTTCATACTAAGCATATAAACATGTTTATTACTTTATAGTAGTTCGAATGTAGGAAGAGTCATGGTTCTTCCAGCTTTTAGTTTGCACCGTTTTTTTTTTTTATTTGCACACAGAAATGTGTAGTAAGCTAAAGGTGAAGTGGGGCATTTTGGAGACCCTGATCTTCATTCAGAGGAGCAGTAGCTGCAGTTGTGCTTGTTGATCAACAAGTGCTTCAGTTTTGGATCGTTCCTGTAGCGTGCAAGTAGCAACCTTTTTTCTCTTTGCTCCTTCTCTTTCAGTATTTTCTTCTGTTCCTTTTTCTTGGTCTTATCCTCTACCCAGGTGAACAGAACAAGTGCCACTTTTCTTTTGCTTGTTTGCTCTTCCTGGATGTTCACTTTTTGGTGGGTCTCATTTTTGGAACCTTCAGGAGAGCTTACACAGAACAGCTTCATCATGTGCTCATCCATCTCTTCCTTTTTCTGAGAAGTGACATCCGTATGGCCTTGAACGGCTTTGGAGTCTCCCACTTCTTTGGGGTCATCTTTCTCACATTCCTGGACCCCCACCACTTCACTCGACCACACTTCCTTCAGCACCTCGCAGTCACTCTCCAACCAAGCTATCATCTGTCTCGGTTTCATTTCAGCCTCCAGCAGTCGGAGGTGTTCAGACTTGGGTAAGTCACAGGCCCGAAAGGTCTTCCCTGTGTACTCCACATACTCGGTCTCCTCATCCTCTATGTCGATGAGCATGAGTTGTGGAGGCGGCTCAAACAGGGAAGAAGTGGACGGCTGAGGCTTCACTGGGCTGGGAGGACACACTTGAGTTGAAGAATGCTGCAGATCAACAACTTCATCAGATTCAGGAGTGGGGCTCAGAGGAACCACCAGTTGTCTGGGAGGACTCACTTGGGAGCGTCGGAGGGAAAACAGTTCATCGGGTGCTGGAGTGGGACGTGGAGGAACCACTTGAAGAGGAGAACATGGCAGGGACACTTCCTCTGGTGCAGGAGCTGGCTTTTGAGGATGCATGGGCAGTCTGGTCACTGGCGGCAGGGGCTTGAAGCAAACAGTTGGTAGAGTAAGGTCTTCGGAGACACTTGGAAGCAGCGGAAGTTCTCCTTCTATTGGCTTCAAGAAGGAAGATCTCACTGGAGGACTGAATAGAGTTTGCTGAGGTTTGACCTCCACAAGAAGTGGAGTAGGCTCAGTGGTCTTTTGTTCCTTCAGTTTTCTCTCCTTCTTTTTTATTTCTCCAGCTTCTCTATTCTCACTTCCTCCCTCAATCAGCTTGTCTAGACTCTGCATCTCTTTAAATTTGCCAGACTCTCTTTTTTTCTGATGCACATGTCTTCTTTTGTTTATCTTTTCAAGGCTGTGTGTCTCTCTCACTACTTCTGCCTTGTTTTGATGACCTTCTCCCTCATTCATCTCTCTCTCCTTCTTCACATTTCTCTTCACCTCTCTTTCCAGTGCCCATTCTTGCGCTGCACATTGCTGTGCCCTCAAAGGTGTCTCCCTTCTATGCAAGAAGTGAGAAAAACCCTCAAAAAGTGGTCTAAATACACTGCTAAACAGTGCCATTGTGGACACTGGATGCTGCAAGTGAATTCAATATTTGTCGTCAATATCTGCAGAAAGTCACGAAAGTAGCTTTCAATCTTTTCACTCCTAACACACCAACAGAAGACAATTAGTCAGAACAGCAGTTTAGAGCTGCCAGAACGGAATCTCCATTATGATGTCACAACAGTGAGCTGAACCCTGAGAGCTCTGAACTATACGAGCAGCTCAGGAGAGAAGCAGTAAATACATACTAGTGGCTCCATATTAAATACTGACTGTTTCCTAAACTCTCCTCTTGTTTCTGAAAATTAAAAGATAATAGTAAAAAAAACCTGATCACTTTTAAGAAACCATTATAATTTATAATGGTACTTACAGGCCAAATCGGACAGAAATTAAACATTTAAACCGATAATCTAACATGCCTATAAAACATTTTACTCTATACTTTAAACTAAAAATAATAACAAAAACAACCAAAGTTATTAAACTTTTAGTTTTTTTAATTAATTTAACTTTATTTATTTATAAATTATATTGCATAATAGTTAGTGTTACAGTTAGTTGTTTAGAGGGGTTTTGGCACTAGCTGGAAGACAAGCTTAAACCACAGTGACCAGAGTGTATGCACATTTTAAACACTACGTACGAATAAACAATAAATCATTTAAACAATAAAGTAAGAATTTTTAATGATTTTGAAGTCTCTTATGAATGAATGAATGAACGATGCATTTATATAGCGCTTTATTGTGTATTGTTGTACACCCAAAGCGCTTTACAATCATGGGGTGGGGGGGGGGTCTCTCCTCAACCACCACCAGTGTGCAGCATCCACTTGGATGATGCGACGGCAGCCACAGGACAGCGGCGCCAGTGCGCTCACCACACACCAGCTACAGGTGGAGAGGAGAGAGAGTTATAGAGCCAATCAAGTGGATGGGGATTATTAGGAGGCCATGATTGACAAAGGCCAGGGGGCAATTTTGGCCATGGGTTACACCCATACTCTTTACGAGAAGTGCCATGGGATTTTTAATGACCACAGAGCGTCAGGACCTCGGTTTAACGTCTCATCCGAAAGATGGTGCTTTTTGACAGTATAGTGTCCCCATTACTATACTGGGGCGTTAGGACCCACGCAGACTACAGGGTGAGCACCCCCTGCTGGGCTCACTAACACCTCTTCCAACAGCAACCTAGTTTTCCCAGAAGGTCTCCCATCCTGGTACTGACCAGTCTCAACCCTGCTTAGCTTCAGTGGGCAACCAGTCTTGGGCTGCAGGGTGATATGGCTGTGCTTATGCTTACCAAGGATTAATTTATTTAATCAAAAGTACAGTATAAAAATAAATATTGTGAAATATTATAATTAAAAGTTACAAAAAAGCTTTTGGGTACTAATATTAGGTACAAATGTGTAGCCTACCTTTTGAAGAGGTACTGTCCCAGTGAGTTTTTGTACCTTTTTTTCTGTGTTGTGTATCGGAAAATATGTAAAGTTGATTCTAGTATTTGATTTATTAGTATTTGTTGTTCAGTCATGACCAAACATGTCTATTTTTAGTAGGCCTAAAAATAAGAAAAAGTGTCATGGAGGAAGAGTAACATTACAACTGTTTTTCTCATCATAATTATGATGTTAATTGTGATAATTGTGAATTTTTTAGTTTTAGCTAATAGTTCTCATTACCACAGTTTTGTTTAGAAAATGTGAATTTGTTTACTTTAATATTTGGGTTTATATGACCGTTAACTAGGGGTGTAACGGTACACAAACATGACGGTTCGGTAGGCCTACGTACCTCAGTTTTGCCGTCATGGTTCGGTATTCGGTAGCCTACAGCAGGGGGAAAAACTAAACATAAAATGAATTGCTTTTTGTTTTGTTTTGTTTGTTTTTATAACAAACTGTGGTTTACTGAATAAATTGCTCTTTCTTTAAATAAATTCAATTATAATAAAAATTTTCTTAGGGATAAAAATTTACCTCAGCTTATGCTCTAAACTATAGGGAGCACTTTTACATGACTTTAAGGTTACAATTAAACTTAAATTTAAGCCCAAACTTAAATGTATTTACTATTTAGGTTATTTTTAGGTAAATAATTAACACTCAACTTAAACGTTGTATGCAAACATACATTGCACATAATGCAGTTTTTAAATTAACTAAATTAACAAAAAAATTCTATTAGTTGTTGAAATATATTCATTTACACAGTATGTCTGTTTCATAACAGAGTTGTTTAAACATATATTAAATAAATAACTCTTACGAAAATTAACCATGGTTTTACTACAAATAAAACGAAAAAAAC